TCTCTATAGTATAATAATTGTTTACATTGTATTAGGTACAATGTAATAGTATTATTGTTATACATTGTATTAGGCATAAAACATAGGTATATGTATTAGGTACAATGTATAGTGTAACAGCTGTTTACAGTGTCTCAGGTACAGTGTAATAGCATTTACATTGTATTATGTGCTATAAGTAATCTAGAGATGATTTAAAGTGTAGATTGTTTGCAAATACTTTACCATTTTATATGAAGAACTTGAGCATTCTCAAATTTTGGTATACTTGGGCGGTCATGGAACCAATTCCCCATGGACACCAGAGGGATGACTATATATCAAAAGGGGCCAAGAGGAGTGAGGTACAGTAATTCACGTAAGAGACGTTGAGGGCTTGAACTAAGATGGTAGCAGTGGACATAGAAAAGGTTGGAAAGAAGTGGGATTAACTAGAAGGAACTATAGGTCTTTTTGGTTAACTGATGGGATTTTCACTTGGAGGAGAAAGAAAAGTCTAAGAATGTTTCTTAAATTTGAGTAATGCATGAAGCTCTTTTAAAGGAAAAACCTTCCTGGTCCTGTGTAACTGAAATTACCATATATACGCAGATCCCAACGGAAAGGCAATTGTTTTTCTCTAATTTCAAAAAAAAAAAAAAAAGATGTTTGTGGTAGGTTAGTGTACAAATCAACAAAGTAACATTTCTGGTGATTTCTTCATGCATGAACTAGATGAGGGGAAGATAAGGAGGGATAAGGGCATTGCGAGCGTGTAATTTTGTTTGACTGTAGTAAACTGTGTCGGATGAGGAAGAAGAAAGACAAAGCCAGAGAAATAAGCTGAGGTTTTCCGGATCATAAAGACTTGAATTTATACTGTATGTATCAGAAGAAAGCCATTAAGGGATTTTAAACTGGAAGATGATATGTTGAGACTTATATTTGGAACATATCTTCCCCAGCAAGGTGGGAAATGGAGTAAGATCAGTTAGGAGCTTAAAGAAGTAATCAAGGTAAGTGTTAAGGACTTGCCTTAGAGACAGTAGTAGTGCAGAAGAGAAAACAAATGAGAGACATTAAGAGTAGAGTTAGCACTTCCATTTCTTGCAGTAAGGATAGTGTAGAGCGATAACATGAATAACCCTGCTGCTGAGAAAAAAAGTGCTGAATAAAGTATGTATTAAAAAAATTGTTTAGGCCTGGCGTGATGACTCATGCCTGTAATCCCAGCACTTTGGGAGGCAGAGGCGGGTGGATCACCTGAGGTCAGGAGTTCAAGACCAGCCTGGCCAACATGGCAAAACCTCATCTCTACTAAAAACACATTAGCTGGGCATGGTGGCGGGCACCTGTAATCCCAGCTACTTGGGAGGCTGAGACAGGAGAGTCACTTGAACCTGGGAAGTGGAGGTTGCAGCAGTGAGTCAAGATTGCATCATTGCACTCCAACCTGGGTGACAAGAGTGAAACTCTTTCTCAAAAAAAAAAAATAATTATAATAATAATTTTTAAAAAATACATTGTTGGGTCAGGTGTGGTGACTCACGCCTGTAATCCCAGCATTTTGGGAGGCCAAGGCAGGTGGATCACAAGGTCAAGAGATCCAGACAATCCTGGCCAAGATGGTGAAACCCAGTTTCTACTAAAAATACAAAAATTAGCTGGGCATGGTGTCCCAGCTACTTGGGAAGATGAGGCAGGAGAATCGCTTGAAGCCTGTAGTCCCAGCTACTTGGGAAGCTGAGGCAGGAGAATCACTTGAACCCGGGAGGTGGAGGTTGCAGTGACCCGTGATTGCACCACTGCACTGCAGCCTGGCAACAGAGCAAGAGTTAGTCTCGTCTCAAATCAAAACAAAACAAAACAAAATTATTGGCTGGCAGCAGACTAAAAACGAAGAATGCAGATGTTAGCCACCTTTAAAGCAGGTCTGGTGGAATCTGTCTGCACTGGATGGCTTTAAACTTCCCTTTTGGTAAGACTCATGGGTCACAGGAAACAATGCTTAGGGCCTTGCCAAGTAGGAAAGAGGTCTGAAAGAAAGCCCCTCCCCTTCATGAAGCAGAGAGTAGGATGTTTCCACCTTGGCAGTGGGGAGGGGATGTATGGAGATGAAGATATTCACAGAGAATTTAGAATAAGTATTGTTACAGTCACATTTCCCATGTGGTCTTGAAAAACTTCCAAATCCAAAATATATTTAAAGTGGTCTCTGTTTGGTAGTGCCCGTGGGTGGGTGCCTTGCAAAATCTGTCAGATCATCCTCTTAGGAGGAAATGTACCTTCAACCCCAGGCTTCAAAATTCTACAGATTAAAATTCCAAGGCACATGAGATCACAGTAAAAAAAAAAAAATCACAAATCACACATAAACTGTGGCACAGTGAGTAAGATCCAGCAGGAACAAGAGACAGTAACCTATAGAGACTGTAGAAAATTTGTATTTTCCCTTAGTAATTGCAATAAGTTTGGTTAATATGTTTGAATAAATGAAAGATTGAAATAGGAGTATGAATTAGGGATCTCTAAAATGTGATTAGGCAGATAAAGATGTCAACAAAAACAGAACTTCTAGTTATAAAAAATTAGCTGAAATCAAAATCTCAGTGAGCAAGTAAAGAAACAGATTGGCACAGCTGAAGGGATAATGTGTGAACTGGAAGATAGCATTGAAGGTATTACCCACAGTGCACCAGAGAGAGCTAAAGAGACAGTATGCATGTGAAAGAAAGGTTGAGACATAAAAGTCGGAGTGAAGGGTTGTAGCATACCTCAAATTGGAGTTATGGAGGAAATAAGTGTGAATGGTGGGGTGAGGCAGTGGTCAAATAGAAATTACTGGGAGTTTTTAAGAATTGATAAAAGATAACCTTCAAGTGGCAGAAGTCCGGTGAACCCCAAGGAAGATAAATAAAATCACACCTGACAAATCAGTGAAATTGCAGAAGGCTAAAGACAGAGGGCCTTAAAAGCAACTGGAGAGAAACAACAGATTGCTATAAAAACATTTTTCTTTAGTCTGGCAACTGATTTCCCAGCAGCAACAACAGAAGCCAGAGGACATTGGAATGCTGTCTATTCTGAGAGAAAATAGCTGTCAGCTTTGAAATAGCATACCCAATAAAACTGTCAGAAATGACAGCAAAATACAGACATTTTCAGACAGAAATTGAAGAGCATTTACCACCAACAGAAGGAGATTCTAAGGGATGTAATTCAGATAGAAGAAAAATCATCCCAAATGGAAAGCTTGAGGTGCCTTTTAGTGGCCATAAAATGTTCAATTTACATTCTATTATTAGACATTTATGTTGTTTCTAACTTTTCAATATAAACTGAAACTATGCTGGACATGTGTATGAACATGTTTATGCATATAGTATTTAATGTAGATTTTATTTTCTTTTGACTAGAAGCCCAAATTACTGAGTCAAAAAAGGAATGAGTATTTTTGTTTCTGGAATACATGTTGTAAAATTGTTTTAAAGGACCTTACCAATTTACATTTCATTTAGCAAACTGTTAGCTTTACTTTATTTACAAATGAGTAAGTTTGTGATAAGGACATTTTTAAATGATGAAGATTGACATTTCTTACCAGATTTTGACTTAGTTACGTCTTAGACAAAAATGATCCATCTTTCTTTGCCATTGGTATTAAAGATGCTTTTTTTTTTTTTTTTTTGAGACGAAGTCTTGCTCTGTCGCCCAGGCTGGAGCGCAGTGGTGCGGCCTCTCACTGCAGCCTCTGCCTACCCTTCTGGGTTCAAGCTGTTTTCCTGCCTCAGCCTCCCAAGTAGCTGGCATTACAGGTGTGCGCCACCATGTCCAGCTAATTTTTGTATTTTTAGTAGAGATTGGATTTTACCATGTTCATCAGGCTGGTCTCAAATTCCTGACCTTGTGATCTGCTGGCATCGGCCTCTCAAAGTGCTGGGACTACAGGCGTGATCCACTGAGCCCAGCCTGATGCTTTCTTTTTTTTTTTTTTTTGAGACGGAGTTTCGCTCTTGTTACCCAGGCTGGAGTGCAATGGCGCGATCTCGGCTCACCGCAACCTCCGCCCCCTGGGTTCAGGCAATTCTTCTGCCTCAGCCTCCTGAGTAGCTGGGATTACAGGCACGCGCCACCATGCCCAGCTAATTTTTTGTATTTTTAGTAGAGACGGGGTTTCACCATGTTGACCAGGATGGTCTCGATCTCTTGACCTCGTGATCCGCCTGCTTCGGCCTTCCAAAGCGCTGGGATTACAGGCGTGAGCCACTGCACCCAGCTGGAATGTATCCTTTCTAACAAAGCATTTCTAACTTTCTAGAATGTAGTCTTTCATTTTACTTTATCTTTTTTCAGCTTGTTCCCAAATATGTACTTGAGCCATTTAAATAAATGGCAAAGAAAACAAAAAAAAAAATTATTTAGTTGTTGTTGGTTTTTTTTCTTTCTTTCTTTTTTCTTTTTTTGTAACGGAGTTTTGCTCTTATTGTGCAGGCTGGAGTGCAATGGTTCGATCTCGGATCACTGCAGCCTCCGCTTCCTGGGTCCTCCCAGGTTCAAGCAGTTTTCCTGCCTCAGCCTCCTGAGTAGCTGGGAGTAAAGGCATGTGCCACCACGCCCAGCTCATTTTGTATTTTTAGTAGAGACAGGGTTTCTCCATGTTGGTCAGGCTGTTCTCAACTTGTGACCTCAGGTGATCCGCCTGTCCTCCCAAAGTGCTGGCACTGCAGGCGTGAGCCACTGCACCCAGCCTAGTGTTTGTTTTATTATAAAGGATGATTACTCTAATGCTGCTACATTCTTTCCTAGCTTTGTGTATTTTATGTCAAGAATGTGTACATTTTTTTCTAGCTCTGTTTATTTCACAATGCAAAAGTAACAAATAAGTTTAAGAAAAGAAAATCATTCATTCCAAAAGGGAAAAATACTGTTAATTTACTTGGAAATTTTAATATGAGCTGAATTTAAGAGGTTGTCTTTTTTTTTTTTTTTTTAACGTTTTTCCTGTCTTTTTACTGTTTCAGGTGCAAGTGAAAGTGTAGGAAAACATATGCTTGAAGCGTGCAACAATAATCTGGAAATGGCAGTCACTATGTTTTTGGATGGTGGAGGAATCGCTGAAGAGCCCAGTACCAGTTCAGCAAGTGTCTCTACTGTCAGACCACACACAGAGTATGAATTTATTATGTGTTGTCAGGAGCTGTCTGTTGCTTAAATTAAGTAGTTGCATTTTTATCAAAGCTAGTTCAGTTCTCTGGTTTTGAAATAAAGGAAAGGCTGAAAGCCTCTGAAAGTATCAAGTGGAAATTTTTGTAGTTACATACTTTAAATTCTTTAGAGTACTGTCTTGCCTTATTTAATCCTCAAAGGAACCATATAGGCTCTGTGAAGTCGGGGAGGTGGGGTTGGTGGGAGTGTGTGGTGCTCTTATGCTAGGATTGGCCTATGGCAGGAGCAAACAAACAAACACGTTATTGGATGGCATTATCAACATTTTACCAATAAGGAAGCAGAGTCATAGCCATTTCCCTAACCCTCACAGCAATTAAAGCAGTAAAGCCCAATAAAGCTCAGATTTCCCAATTTTAGATTTTTCTACATTGGTCATAGAAATGTTTTGAGTTGCCATGAAAAATGCTTGTAGATAATTCTAGTCCTTTATTCCTTAGGTAAATGTAGTTAATCAGTAGAAGTATCTTCAGCATATTTGAAACTGTAATATATAGAAAATAGTAATAAGCAGTGAAGAGACTTGGTGTCTTTACCATTAATAATTTATACCCATGAGAGTTTGAAGTAAATAACTGTTGGGCAAAACTCCATCAGTCTTTGGAAAACATGAGATATGCACCTTGCTCAAGGGAAAGCCATTAATTTTTTAAACAAAAATTTTTAAAGGTCCTCAAGACTTCAATGCTCATAGCTTTTTATAAGTCTCATTGTTTACAACATGAGATACTAAACAAGAGGAATCCTTTTAAATAGGAATAGGCCTATTCCTATTTAAAATAGGAATTTTAGTTCTACTAGAACTAAAATTTTAGTTCTACTAGAACTAAAAGACCAGGATTTTAGTTCTACTAAATTAGAGATAAATTTAAAAAGCCAGATCACATGCAGGCATAATTGTTTCTTTCATTAATCTAGTTCCAGATACCAGAATAATTGTTTTCTCATGAAGTACGAACTTTAGAGATCATTATTAATACCTTATAAAGTTTTTTCTGACCAGGCGCTATGGCTCATGCATGTAATCCCAGCACTTTGGGAGGCCAAGACGGGCAGATCACCTGAGGTTAGAAGTTCAAGACCAGCCTGGCCAACATGATGAAACCTCGTCTCTTCTAAAAATACAAAAATTAGCTGGATGTGTTGGCGCCAACTTGTAATCTCAGTTACTCAGGAGGCTGAGGCATAAGAATTGCTTGAGCCCAGGAGGCAGAGGTTGTAGTGACCAGAGGTCACGCCACTGCACTCCAGCCTGGGTGACACAGCAAGAAAGACTCTGTCTCAAAATAAATAAATAAATAAAAATAATATTGTATAGTTTTCTTCTGTTAATGTTGGCCATGTATTTCACTCCCAGTGTAGCTCAAATTTTTAACAGAAATCAGTATGAATCTAATATTTAAAAAAAAAAAAAGTCTGGGCACAGTGGCTCATGCCTGTAATTCTAGTACTTTGGGGAGGCCCAGGCAGGAGAATGTGTTGAGCCCAGGTGTTTGAGACCAGCTTGGGCAATATAGCAAAACCCCATTCTCTACAAAAAACATAGAAAACTCAGTCAGGTGTGGTGGTGTGGGGCTGTAGTCCCAACTGCTTGGGAGGCTGAGGTGGGAGTATCACCTGAGCCTGGAAGGTGAAGGTTGCAGTGAACCATGATTGTGCCACTGCACTCTAGGCTGGGTGACACAGAATGAGACCTCCTGTCTCAAATAAATAAATAAAAACAAAAAAACACCTAATATAGAAACTTGAATAGGAAATATTCATGGTTGATTTGGGAGAGCATATCTGGCCTCATTGTATAACACATGTGTTCTCATTTGTGTTTGACAACAGTTTGTTTTGTTCTGTTTGGAGACAGAGTCTCGGTCTGTCACCAGGCTGGAGTGCAATGGCGCGATCTTGCTTCCCTGCAACCTCCACCTCCCGGGTTCAAGCAGTTCTCCTGCCTCAGCCTCCTGGGTAGCTAGGACTCCAGGTGCACGCCACCACGCCCAGCTAATTTTTTTTTTTTGCATTTTTAGTAGAGACAGGGTTTCACCATGTTGGCCAGGATGGTCTTGATCTCCTAACCTCATGATCCGCCCGCCTCGGCCTCCCAGAGTGCTGGGATTACAGGCTTCAGCCACTGCACCCGGCCAACAATAGTTTTGATAAATGAATACTCTTTCCTACTGAATTACCGTGTAACTTGGCTTAGACGGTTTGTATTGCAAATTGATTAACATTTGATAATGGCTTCTAATTCCTAACATATAATTCTCTTTATTTACTTTACTTTTTTCTGCTCCATCCTTCCGTTCTTGGTAGCTGACAATCTTAGTACAGATACCTTCAGATAATGTAGTAATCAAGTCTTTTCATGTAAGGACAACTGTACTACTTAATTCACCCCTCTCATTGATGTATTTCATCAGATTAAAGTTTGTTTATAGAACAACTGAATTGTCTGAGATGAGACAATTATATATAATAACAATAACAAAAAGTGAGGTATAACAATAATGGAAAGTTTTGTTTCGGTAAAAATGTCTTTTAAATTCTTAGTTTTCTTTTCTTTTTTTTAAATTGAGACGGGCTTTCACCATGTTGGTCAGGATGGTCTCAATCTCTTGACCTCATGATTCGCCTGCCTCTGCCTCCCAAAGTGCTGGGATTATAGGCGTGAGCCACTGCACCCGGCATAAGTTCTTAGTTTTCTTAAGATAATTAATAGGCCTTTTTCTTTCTTGGTTCTTTTTTTTTTGGAGACAGCGTCTTGCTTTGTTGCCCAGGCTAGAGTGCAATAGCGCAGTCTTGGCTTACTGCAACCTTTGCCTGCCTCCTGGGTTCAAGCGATTCTCCTCCCTCAGCCTCCTGAGTAGCTGAGATTACAGGCGTCCACCACCATGCTTGCCTATTTTTGGTATTTTTAGTAAAGATGGGGTTTCACCACGTTGGCCAGGCTGGTCTCGAACTCCTGACCTTGTGATCTGCCTACCTTGACCTCCCAAAGTGCTGGGATTATAGGCGTGAGCCTCTGCGCCTAGACTCTCTTTTTTTTTTTGAGACGGAGTTTCGCTCTTGTTACCCAGGCTGGAGTGCAATGGCACGATCTCGGCTCACCACAACCTCCGCCTCCTGGGTTCAGGCAGTTGTCCTGCCTCAGCCTCCTGAGTAGCTGGGATTACAGGCATGCGCCGCCATGCCCAGCTAATTTTTTGTATTTTTAGTAGAGACGGGGTTTGACCATGTTGACCAGGATGGTCTCGATCTCTTGACCTCCTGATCCACCCGCCTTGGCCTCCCAAAGTGCTGGGATTACAGGCTTGAGCCACCGCGCCCGACTCTGACTCTCTCTCTTTTTAAACACAGTCTTGCTCTGTCACTCAGGCTGCAGTATAGGAGTGTGATCTCTGCTAACTGCTCTTGGTTCACTGCAACTTCTGCCTCCCAGGTTCATGCAACCTTAGCCCCTCAAGTAGCTGGGACTATAGGTGCATGCTACCATGCCTGGCTAATTTTTGTATTTTTTTTTTTTTTTTTGTTTGTTTTTTTTGTTTTTTTTTTTTGAGACGGAGTTTCGCTCTTGTTACCCAGGCTGGAGTGCAATGGCCCGATCTCGGCTCACCGCAACCTCCGCCTCCTGGGTTCAGGCAATTCTCCTGCCTCAGCCTCCTGAGTAGCTGGGATTACAGGCACGCACCACCACGCCCAGCTAGTTTTTTGTATTTTTAGTAGAGACGGGGTTTCACCATGTTGACCAGGATGGTCTCGATCTCTCGACCTCGTGATCCACCCGCCTCGGCCTCCCAAAGTGCTGGGATTACAGGCTTGAGCCACCGCGCCCGGCCTAATTTTTGTATTTTTTATAAAGATGGGGGTTTTGCCACGTTCCCTAGGCTGGAATTGAACTCCTGAGCTCAAGCGATCCAATTGCCTTGGCCTCTCAAAATGCTAGGATTGCATTTTGCCTGTCCAGCCTATTTCTTTTTGATAAAAGGATTGACAGAGCTTCCTCTTGTATTGTCTCTTTCTTCAGATTATTGAAATTTTACTTGTTAGCAGTAGGAAAGAGTGCTTAACATAGTTTTGAATTGCCATTTTATTCTTTAGTCACTTGGTTTATTGGAAGTTTCTTTTCTCTAACTGGTGGTTCTTTGATTACAGGATGTTAGTATTGTTGACAAATGAGTATTCCTACTTCATTTCATAAAGGATGTTTTGGAGTTCCAACTCTTAAATATCAAAAACAAGGTCTTAAGCTTAGTTACTACTGTTCAGAACACCTGAATGAAAATCATTAGGCCTAACATAAATTTATATGGAACTTACATGCTTATATAATAATATTTATTATAAGCTAGAAGATATTAATTAGGAAGTTACTATTTGCTGTGAAAATTAACCAGCAAAGTTCAATACTTGAGTTACAGCTATAAAATAAACTAATATGGCCGGGCATGGTAGTTCATGCCTGTAATCCAAGCACTTTGGAGGCCAAGGTGAGCAGATCACCTGAGGTCAGGAGTTCAAGTCCAGCCTGACCAACATGGTGAAACTCCATCTTTATTAAAAAACAAAACAAAACAAATATTTCTCTCTCTCTCTCTCTCTCTCTCTCTCTCTCTCGCTCTCTCGCTCTCTCGCTCTCCCTCTCTCTCTCTCTAAGAGATGGGGTTTTGAGCCGGGCGTGGTGGCTCAAGCCTGTAATCCCAGCACTTTGGGAGGCCAAGGCGGGTGGATCACAAGATCAAGAGATCGAGACCATCCTGGTCAACATGGTGAAACCCCGTCTCTAATAAAAATACAAAAAATTAGCTGGGCATGGTGGTGCGTGCCTGCAATCCCAGCTACTCAGGAGGCTGAGGCAGGAGAATTGCCTGAACCCAGGAGGCAGAGGTTGTGGTGAGCCAAGATCGCGCCATTGCACTCCAGCCTGGGTAACAAGAGCAAAAAAAACTCCATCTCAAAAAAAAAAAATAAAATAAAATAAAGAGATGGGGTTTTGGTATATTGCCAAGGCTGGTCTCAAACTCCTGGGCTCAATTGAGCCTCCCACCTCCTCTCCCAAAGTGCTGGGATTACAGGCATGACCCACTATGCCTGGCCTAAAATAAACTAATCTTTAAAGGCACACACCATTTTTATAGTATATCTAAATGAGTTTTTTCTTATTGTAAGAGATGGATTATCAATAAACTCTGTGAATGTAAACTTTGAAGATAATAGGCTTTTAAAAGATGAGCAATTACTTTTTTTGTTCTGTATGTTAGGATCTTTTTAGTAAATAATTCAAGATCATACCTGTTAGCCTTTCATAATTATCACGAAGTGTCTAACTAAACCATTTGAGCTATGTGTGCCAGGTACTCTTCCAGTTGAGCTTCATGTGGAAACCATCTAAAACTCATTCATCAGCTGGATGCAGTAGCTCATGCCTGTAATCCTAGCACTTTGGGAGGCTGAGGTGGGTGAATTGCCTGAGCTCAAGTGTTCGAGATCAGCCTGGCCAACATGGCGTGACCCTGTCTCTACTAAAAATATGAAAAAAATTAGCCAGGTGTGATGGTGCATACATGTGGTCCCAGCTACTAGGGAGGCTGAGGTGTGAGATTCGCTTTAACTCAGGAGGTGGAGGTTGCAGTGAGCCAAGATCGTGTCAGTCCACTCCAGCCTGGGTGACAGAATGAGATGCTGTCTCCCTCCCCTCCCCCAAAAAACAAAAAACCTATTTATCATCATTACCATGCTTCTAAAAGTAACTAAGTTAATTTGAATGCATTCACAGTAATTACAGAAATCAGATAGCAGAAAACAGTTTTCATTTTTTATTTTTCCATTTTTTTTTTTTTAATAGAGAAGAAGTTCGTGCCCCAATTCCTCAAAAGCAGGAAATACTGGTGGAACCAGAACCATTATTTGGTGGTAAGTTTACTTTGTTCCCTTAGTTTTATTTGATTTTATTCTTTAGGATTTTAATGAAACCATCAAAAGATGGGAGGTCTTGCTTGGAGGCTGTTACAAGGGTAGTCTCAATTCTTATCTTGTTTTTTATAGTCCTGTGAAGAAAGTTGCACAGTTGACTCACAAAGAGTGAAGCAGATGTTAAAAATTGGTATTTGTTGGAAAAGGAGGAACATGAGCAAAAAGAATTGCTGCCTTGTAGTGGGAATGAATAATGATCAAGATTCTGGTGATTTATTTTCTGGATACCTACTTGACTGCCATATCCTTACTCTCTAGCTGTGCCTTACTTTCTCTCTTAGTTTCTAGAAGTGCTATTCCTATTTTGAATAAAGGACACAGTAACTCCTAATTGATGTAAAAAATTGTGATATTAGTCTGGGTAGGGACTGATGATAGAGAATGTCCAGGACATTTAATCAGATTGATTAATAGTTAAATGAGTACTTATTTCCCTTTTGTAAGCCAAAGAGTTTAGGTGTTAATAATGGGTTTATATAGAAGAAATAGATGGAATTATAATATGGTTGGGCAGACGAAGACAGATAACTGTATATACTATGTATTGAGAACAGTTCTGCAGAGAAATACTTTGCATTGAGGTGGCCCACACCTGTAATCCCAGCACTTTGGGAGGCTGAGGTGGGTAAATCACTTGAGGCCAGGAGTTCGAGACCAGCCTGACCAACATGTCAAAATCCCGTCTCTACTAAAAATACAAAAATGTGTTAGGCATCGTAGCACATGCCTGTAATCCCAGTTGCTTGGGAGGCTGAGGCACTAGAATTGCTTAAACTGGGAGGCTGAGGTTGCAGTGAGCCGAGATCATGCCACTGCACTCCAGTCTTGTCGGCAGAGTAAGACTCTGTCTCAAAATAAAGAAATAAAGTTGAGTACAAGAGACATATGTAAATTTTTTAACTTCCAACTTTTATTTTAGGTGCAGGTTTGTTACATGGGTAAATTGCACGTTCCATGGGTTTGGTGTACAGATTATCACTCAGGTAATGAGCATAATACCTGATAGGTCGTTCTTCCTTCCATTCCCCTTCCCCTTTCCTTCCCTCCCTCCTTCCCTCCCTTTCTTCCTCCCTCCCTCCCTCTTTCTTTCTTTCTCTCTCTCTTCCTCTCTCTCTCCCTTCCCTTCCTCTCTCTCTCCTCCTCTCCCTTCCCCTCTTCCCCTCTCTTCTCCCCTTCTTCTCCCCTCCCTTCTCCCCTTCCTCTCCTCTCCCTTCTCCCCTTCCTCGCTCCTTCCTCTTCTCTCTTCCTCTTCCTCTTCCTCTTCCTCTCTTCTCTTCTCACTGTGTTGCCCTGGCTGGTCCCCAAACTCCTGGGCTCAAGCGATCCTCTGGCCTCAGCCTCCCAAAGTGCTGGGATCACAGGCGTGAGCCACTGCGCCCATACAGTTTTGTTTTGTTTTGTTTTGTTTTTTTGTGAGACAGGGCCTTGCTATGTTGCCGTGGCTGCTATTGAACTGATCTCCAGCAATCCTCCCGCCTTGGCCTTGGTCTCCCAAAATACTGGGGTTATGGGCATGAGCCACTACACCTGGCTTTTTTATTTTACTGCTTTCTTTCTTTTTTATCTCTGAGTTGATGTACAGTTAGGAGGACAATGAGAATGACTTTATACAGTTAGGAAGTCATTCTTGCCTTTCATTATTAAACTTGAATCTTTAGAGAACTGTTTGCTTAAGGCTATTATACTAATAATTTAAATCACAGTTCAGGTGTGGTCTCGTGTCCCTAATACCCTTTCAGGTTGTCTGTAAAGTTAAAACTTATTACATAATAATACTAAGGGTTTGTTTTGTTTGACCTTCTCTGTTTCCAGTCTGGGCCAGTTTACCCCTCCTTAGGCAACTTGGTGGTCCACTACTCCCAGGAGGTCATTATATTGTCACTGAGCCTTAGTTCTTACAGGCCCGAACTCTTAGATTCAAGTGATCTTCCTACCTCAGCCCCCTGAGTAGCTAGAATTAAAGGCATGCACTGTTGCAATGGGCATCAAATTATCATCATTGTGGTGACATTTAGACTGACAGTTCAGAAACAGTGAAGAGTCAGACTGCTGGCATCTTGGTTGAATTCATGCAGTAGCTTCATACTGTACCACTAGGTAGTGAACTCTTCCCTGCCACGTACTTGAAGTTTACAAACAAATATAAAAGGCAGGGCCAGGTGCAGTGGCTCATGCCTCTAATCCCAGGCCTTTGGGATGCCACAGTGGAAGATCACTCCAGATCAGGAGTTGGAGAGCAGCCCAGGCGACATAAGAAGACTCTTATCTCTACAAAAAATAAATTCTTTATGTGTAGTGGTATGCACCTGTAGTCCTAGTTACTTGGGAGTCTGAGGTGGGAGGATTGCTTGAGCTTAGGAGTTCTAGGCTACAGTGAGCTATGATCATGCCACTGTACTGAAGCCTGGGTGACAGAGTGAGACCCTGTCTCTAAAAGAAAAATAAATACCACATGTATAGTGGCTCACGCCTGTAATCAACACTTGGGAGGCTGAGGCGGGAGGATTGCTTGAGCCCAGGAGTTTGAGACCAGCCTGGACAACTTTTTGAGACCCCAACTGGAAAGAAAAAAAGAAAAAGAAATTAATTTAAAAAGCGGTTTTCTTTAATAATGTTCTTGATGAAGCAATAAAAATGACTCATTTCATTAAATCTTGACCTTTGAGTACATAGTTTGAAAATAATGTTTGAAATAGGATGTATGCATAAAGCACTTTGGGATACTATGATTACCTTAAGGAAAAACACTTGTGTGATTGTTAGAGTAGTGAGCTGAGCTAGGCAGCTTTTTTTCATGGAGCATTGTTTTTACTTGAAAAATCACTGACAGACTATCAGTTTACACTTTGACAGATGGATTGAAAATGTGAGTTTGTTAACTTCAATAAAACTGAGAGTGTTTGTTACCAGAGAGGTTTGGCTGGGTGTGGTGACTCACACCTGTCATCCCAACACTTTGAAAGACTGAAGTGGGAGGATTGCTTGTGCCTGGGAGTTCCAGACCAGCCTGGGCTATACAAGGATATCCCGTCTCTACAAAAAAATTAAGAAAAAAATTAGCCAGATGTGCCTGTAGTCCCAGCTAGCTACTCAGGAAGCTGAGGGGTGAGGAGATTGCTTGAGCCTAGGAGGCCAAGGCTGTAATGAGCCATGATTATGCTGTGCACTCCAGCCTACTAGTGACAGAGAGACCTTGTCTCAAAAAAATGATAAAAACATTAAAAAAGAGCTTTCAGGCAAAAAACAAATTTTTAGAAAAATTTTTGTACCCACCTTCGTGAGCTTGATACTTTCTCAATACTTGAAGGCTTTCTGTTAAGACCAGTGGTCACATTAAACAGATGATTTTTAAAATAGTGTATAATGAAACCATTAATATTTTAAATGTTTACATTACTCAGTAAACAAGTATTTTTGAATAACCAATGCATGATACTACAAAATTGCATACAGGTAAAAGATGCATTCAAACTGTGAGATGAATTGTATTCATTGCTTATTGCTGAGTAAAAAATTGTTCCAAAATTAAACTGCCTGAAAAAAAAACCAAACATTTGTTATCTCAGTTTCTTTGGGTTAGGAATGTAGGTATGGTCTTTGGTTGGGGTCCCCTACAAGGGTCATCTCAAAGCTGAAGTGGCGGAGGATCTCCTAAGCTCTTTCACGTGGCTATTGCCTGGGGGCAGCCATTCTTAACACAGCAAATGAGAGAGCCAGAAAATGAGAGAGCCAGAGCAGGCAGCCCAAGGTGGAAGCTACATCTTGTAACATAATCTGGAAGTGAAATCCCATCAGGTCTGCCATATTCTGTTCAGTGCTACCTGTACTCCAGGTAGCTACACACAGGTTGGGAAAACTGGGGGCTGCCTAGAGACTGCCTACCACATAGTACAGTGGGTTTTAATGCAGCAGTATGAAAAGCTCATGGATAAGATTTCAGATTTCACTTTGCAACTGTCCTCTAAGAATCTGCCACTGGTTAAGTATTGGTGTACTATCAAAGGAGAATGTCCACAATTACCTAAATCTTTAAAACACTCCTCCCTGCTGGGTATGATGGCACAGGCATGTAGTCTCAGCTACTCTGGAGGCAGAGGCAGGAGTATGGCTTGAGCCCCAGGAGTTCTTGGCTGTAGTGCCCTATGCTGATTGTATGTCTGCACTAAGTTGGGAATCAATATGGTGACCTGCCAACTAGTGGAGGACCACCAGATGGCCTGAGGAGGAGGAATCTGAGCAGTGCTGATCAGTAGTGGGATTGTGCCTGTGAATGGCTACTGCACTTCAGCCTGGGCAACGTAGTGAGACCCCCATCTTATAAAACAAAAAGCCCGCTCCTCCCTCAAGAACTGAGTGTCTGCATGAGGGTAAATTTTAATTTTCTTTCTATACTTGAACTAAAAGAATAGCAGCAGATCTAAAAGAACGCAGAAGCAGATCTGAAGATCTAGATGTCTTCTCTGAAGCAAATACGAACAGATAGGTGGACATGTAAAACATGCCACTCTTCTCACTACAGTTTTTTCTCCACCTGTCCCTCCCCTGTTCTGACTTTGAATCTCCTTCTGAATCTCCGTTAGCTCTTTATAGCTTAGTCTCTTTGGCTTCAATGACCAGTGCTTCTGTTATATGGGCAGTAGAGTGAGGAAAGAGGACTGATGTTTGCTTGTGGTAGACAGCTTGGAAGAGCCAGGAGACCACATTAAAAAGGCAGGTAGGAGTGATGGTCCCAGGGCTGTGGTCTGAGGAGAGGTTTTTGCTTAGACATAGGGTAAATGGAGGGGAGACAAATGGGAAGAGAGTTACTAGCCCAAGGAGTAAAATGAGTTGGGTAGAAGGATGGCGATAAGAGGAACTAGTGAGTATGTCGAGATCGGGTGCCTTGAAGCGATGGGGGAATTGGGAAAAGGATATGAAATAATGTAGAATATTGACTAACCTGCCTTTGGCAGTTTAAAAGTAGAAGAAAATTACCTTTTATGTGCTGCCTGTCTAAAATAATACACTTTCTTAGGCAGCTATTCTGTCTTATTCTAAGACATCCTCAGTTTCTTAATTATCATAGTTAAAAAGTATCAGACATCTAGTTTTTTAAAAAATAGCATTTTTTTTTTTTTTTTTTTTTTTTAAAGAACGGTGCGGCCGGGCGCGGTGGCTCAAGCCTGTAATCCCAGCACTTTGGGAGGCCGAGGCGGGTGGATCACGAGGTCAAGAGATCGAGACCATCCTGGTCAACCTGGTGAAACCCCGTCTCTACTAAAAATACAAAAAAAAAAAAAATTAGCTGGGCATGGTGGCGTGTGCCTGTAATCCCAGCTACTCAGGAGGCTGAGGCAGGAGAATTGCCTGAACCCAGGAGGCGGAGGTTGCGGTGAGCCAAGATCACGCCATTGCACTCCAGCCTGGGTAACGAGCGAAACTCCGTCTCAAAAAAAAAAAAAAAAAAAAAAAAAGAACGGTGCACAGCCTGGGCTGGAACTCCTTGGGCCAAGCAGTCTTCTGACATCAGCCACCTGGGCAGCTGGGGCTGTAGGCACACGTCACTGCACCAGGGCCAGTTAACTGGGTTTGAGGAATTCTTTGGCAGGTTACATTATTTCTGCTAGAAGCCATATACATTCGAAATAGGAGTTCTTCATCAAAAATAGTTCCAAGATTGAAAAGTGTGACATTCCTTGCTTTTTCTTGTAATGAAGGAATAGGAATAAAAATTTTTATTTTTATTAAAAACAGAATTTGGCTGGGCCTTGTGGCTCGTGCCTGTAATCCCAGCACTTTGGGAGGCTGAGACGGGGGGAACATCTGAGGTTAGGAGTTTGAGACCAGCCTGGCCAACTTGGTGAAACCTCATCTCTACCAAAAATACAAGAATTAGCTGGTGGGTGCCTGTAATCCCAGCTACTTGGGAGGCTGAGGCAGGAGAATCGCTTGAACTCAGGAGACAGAGGTTGCAGTGAGCCGAAATCGTGCCACCGAATTCTAGCCTCGACAACAAGAGCAAGACTCCGTCTCAAAAAATAAAATAAAATATATAATTCAGGCCAGGCGTGGTGGCTCACACCTGTAATCCCAGCACTTTGGGAGCCTGAGGTGGGCACATCACCTGAGGTCAGGAGTTTGAGCAAGACTAGGCTGACCAGTATGGTGAAACCCTGTCTCTACTAAAAGTACAAAAATCAGCCAGGTGTGGTGGCGTGTGCCTGTAATCCCAGCTACTCGGGAGGCTGAGACAGGAGAATTACTTGAACTGGAGGTGGAGATGGCAGTAGACAGATCATGCCACTGCACTCCAGCCTGCGTGACAGAGCGAGACTCCATCTCAAAAATATATATATAATAATAATAAAATTCAGGCTGAGTATGGTGACTCATGCCTGTAATCCCAACACTTTGGGAGGCTGAGGTTGGAAGATTCCTTGAGCCCAGGAGTTTGAGACTAGCCTGGGCAATATAGTGACACCCCCATCTCTTTTTTTAAAAAAAAAGAATGAAAAGAAAAACTGACTGTGGTGCTGTATACTTGTAGTCCCAGCTACTTGGGAGGCTAAGGCAGGAGGATGGCTTGAGTCCGGGAGGATGGAGCCTGTGATGAGCCATGATCACACCACTGCACTCCAGCCTGAGCGACAGTTAGACACACTGTCTCAAAACATAAAAAAATTAACACGCAAGTGCATTATAAAATCTGTTTTCCCAAAGATGATGTGATTCTTTGGCATAAATACTGACACGTGCACGTGGATGATATACAAATGAATATGTTTTAAACAAAAATGAAGTTTTTAACACTTTCTGCATTTTTTTGTTGCTTTGTTTTGTTTTGCTTTTTACTTGATAGTTCTGGATATTAACAATTATCCTATGTAATCACAAGCACAAGTTATTGGGAAAGATGTTTTGATATGGGATGGGGGAGTCTATATTCTCTGTCTACTCTTTTTTTTTTTTTTTTTTTTTTTTTTTGAGACGGAGTTTTGCTCTTGTTACCCAGGCTGGAGTGCAATGGCGCGATCTCGGCTCACCGCAACCTCCGCCTCCTGGGTTCAGGCAATTCTCCTGCCTCAGCCTCCTGAGTAGCTGGGATTACAGGCACGTGCCACCATGCCCAGCTAATTTTTTGTATTTTTAGTAGAGACGGGGTTTCACCATGTTGACCAGGATGGTATCGATCTCTCGACCTCGTGATCCACCCGCCTCGGCCTCCCAAAGTGCTGGGATTACAAGCTTGAGCCACCACGCCCGGCCATCTCTGTCTACTCTTGATACTCATCATTATTTATTAACACAATTATTCTGGTTATCTGCTGGCCAGTCTTGCCATAAGCCAGCTTAATAACTGTTACCCATATTTAGGGAATTATGAACAGTCTTTATTTATTGTAATGTACATAAATGATATAATTTGTTTAGGTTTAAGAATACATGGGAAGATAACATTTTGATTCTTGCATCCTAGACCTTATCTGTAAAATACTTAGACTGGGTAATAGACACTCTACAGGGGTAGTAAAACACCTTAGGTGAATCCGTTTACTTTTGTGTCATTAAAGTATTGTGTAACTGTGGAAAAAATTTTTCAAAATTAAAGATTTTTTGTGTGTGTTTATCGTTCTGCATGTGTGTCCAATCACTAAGAAATAGTCCTTAAGCCTTATAGTTTAGGATGTAGAGTTACTCTATACAACAGGGCAGTCAGATCCCGAAGGCTAACCTGAATTGGATATTTGCAGCATGTGTGCGGCTTCACCTCTATGTGATGTCATCATCAAAATCATCTTGATATCATCAGTTGGATATTAGGATAGTAAACTTTTTTTTTTTGAGGCGGAGTTTAGGTCTTCTTGCCCAGGCTGGAGTGCAGTGGCGAGATCTTGGCTCACTACAACCTCCATCTCCCAGATTAAGCGATTCTCCTGCCTTAGCCTCCCAAGTAGCTGGGATTACAGGTGCACACCAACACACCTGGCTAGTTTTTGTTTTTTTGTATTTTTAGTAGAGACGAGGTTTCGCCTTGTTGGTTAGGCTGGTCTCAAACTCGACTTGGTGATCCACCGCCTCGGTCTCCCAAAGTTCTGTGATTACAGGAGGCACGTAGGCAGGATAGTAAAGTTTTTTGAGGTGGAATTTCATTCTTCTTGCCCAGGTTGGAGCGCAGTGGCACAATTTGGCTCACTGCAACTTGTGTCTCCCAGGTTCAACTGATTCTCCTCTCTTAGCCTCCCAAGTAGCTGGGATTGCAGGCATATGCCACCCCGCCTGGCTAGTTTTTTTTTTTGTATTTAGTAGAGACGGGGTTCATCATGTTGGCTAGGCAGGTCTCAAACTCCTGATCTCAGGTGATCCACCCGCCTCCACCTCCCAAAGTGCTGGGATTATAGGCATAAGCCACCATGCCCAGCTGTTGGTAAACTTTTTACACAGGTTTGATCAAGTCTCTTAACTGGGCCTTAATTTTGTCATTTATTATGCAAGATGGCTAGATGGAAGATGTTTGGGTTAATTGTATATGGACGATTTCAAACTTTAAGCTTTTTTATTTTTTGAGGGAAGGTACCTTTATGAATCTGTGAGTGTTTTAAAGCAAGAAATACTGTGCTCACTTAAGCAGCACGTGTACTAACACTGGAACAATACTGAGAAAACTGGCATAGCCCCTGTGCAAGGATGACATGCAATTTGTGAAGTGTTTAATATTTTTCATTAAAAAAAAATACTTCTAGATAAGGACGTTTTTAGAATTGTTTGAACATTAATGTTAAAATAATTCTATTTTTTCTTCCCTAAAGCCCCTAAAAGACGACGGCCCGCACGTTCAATTTTTGATGGTTTCCGGGATTTTCAGACTGAAACCAGTAGGTATCTGTGGAACAGTTTATTATCTCTCTCTTCCCTTCTCCTCTTATTAAAAAGAAAAAGATGATTACTGTTAGGCCTAATTACTTCGAGGTTTCACCTTATTTAAAAAGTGAAATTATGGATCCAGAAAGTGATTAATTCTCTCCTGAGCTGAATTGTTCCAAATGCTAACCTATTTGGTTATAGAAAAATAGTAAAGGAGATGCAGATAATGTAGGAAACCTGGTAATTAGCTTGTGAATACTTAAAGTGCTTACTATAATGAAATAAACTCATTTCTCTTGGGATCCTGATTTCTGTCAATGAAAGGAATATATAATGAAAATGGTTATTAGGAGGCTGAGGCAGGAGAATTGCTTGAACCCAGGAGGCAGAGGTTGCGGTGAGCCGAGATGGCGCCATTGCACTCCAGCCTGGGTAACAAGAGCGAAACTCCGTCTCGAAAAAAAAAAAAAAAATGGTTATTAAAAGAGATTGAAAAATGGAAGAAAAAGCCACACCACCCAAGGCAGCCACTATTAATATTTTGGTTACCCTTGTTTGAAATATTTTTGTGTAATAAGTTAGAATGAGAATGTTGGTCTTACACTTTTAGCGGATTTAGTATTGATGTAACAGTGGAATCCTAAAGAAAGGACAGTTATGTTAAGAGGATATATGAGAAACCCTTGGACCATGCTTGATTTTGCAGTTTATTTATAGTGAATGAGTTCATTGAGGCACAGATAGGTCTTGTAACTTTGGAGAGAATTAATGGAGAAACTAAACAGACTCAAGTCATCTAGGGAATCCCGTTTCCTTCCAGTGGAAGGTGACAACAGTGGTCATCATCTCTACTGCCAGAATATTATTATTATTATTATTATTACTATTATTTGTTTTTGAGATGGAGTCTCACTTTGTCACCCAGGCTGGAGTGCAGTGTCGCGATCTGGGCTCACTGCAAGTTCCACCTCCCAGGCTCAAGCAATTCTCCTGCCTCAGCCTCCTAAGTAGCTGGGATTACAGGCACCCGCAACATGCCCGACTAATTTTTGCATTTTTAGTAGAGACATGGTTTCACCGTGTTGCCCAGGCTGGTCTTGAACTCCTGACCTCAGGTGATCTGCACATCTCAGCCTCCCATAGCGTTGGGATTACAGTCATGAGCCACCGTGCCTGGCCCCGAATCTTTAAAGATTGAGAACATAGCTGAAAACAGCAGATGAATTTACATTGCTTGCAGAACTAGATAAATGAATATGAAAGTTTTCCCCTATGCTTTTTGTTTTGTTTTGTTTGAGATGGAATTCCAGTCTGTTCCACAGGCCGGAGTGCAGTAGGGTGCTCTCAGCTTACTGCAACCTTCATCTCCTGGGGTTCAAATGATTCTCCTGGCTCAGCCTCCTGAGTAGCTGGGAGTACAGGCATGCACACCCAACCATGCCTGGCTAATTTTTTTTTTCTCGGCTCACTGCAACCTCTGCCTCCAGAGTTCAAGTGATTCTCCTGCCTTAGCCTCCTGAGTAGCTGGGATTACAGGCGTGCGCCACCATACTTGGCTAATTTTTTTTTTTTTTTTTTTTTTTGTATATTTAGTAGAGATGGGGTTTCACTGTGTTGGCCAGGCTGGTGTCAAACTCCTGGCTTCAGGTGATCCTCTCACCTGGGCCTCCCAAAGTGCTAGGATTACAGGTGTGAGCCACTGCACCCAGCCTCTCCCATGTTTAAGTTAGCTTTTGAATATGTGAAGAAGTTGCTTTGATTATATGACTATTTTCAGTTAATTTTCTTTGTATACTTTGAATAGGGAATACCACTAAGTCTTAAGATTCCTCTTAACTCCTCCTTGCATTTTTTTTTCGGAGTCAGCGTTAGATCTTTATATTTAAGGTCAAGCACATTGTCAGCAATTCCTTCAATTGACAGAAGTTTTTTGTTTTTTTTTTTTAATGGGATTTATGATTTTTTTTTTATTGCTAACTGAAACTTTTTCATCCTTCTGTATTATAGTTCGGCAAGAACAAGAATTAAGAAATGGAGGAGCTATAGATAAGAAATTGACTACTCTTGCAGATCTGTTCCGGCCACCCATTGATTTGATGCATAAAGGCAGCTTTGAAACAGTAAGTTATTGGAGATTCTGTGCCTTAACTATAAATGCTTTTGTATTTTCAATGCCTTTTTTTAAAAAGTTACTTGTTTTAGAGACAGGGTCTCGCTCTGTTGTACAGGCTGGAGTGCAGTGGCATAGTCATAGAGCTCACTGCAGCCTTGAACTCTTGGGCGCAGGGGATCCTCCCACCCCAGCCTTGCAAGCAACTAGGGCTATGGACATGCACCACTACACTCAGCTAATATAAAAAAATGTTTTTGGTAGAGACAGGGTCTCACTATGTTGCCCAGGCTGGTCTCAAATGCCTGGGCTCAAGCAATCCTCACACCTCAGCCTCCCCAAACTCTTGGATTACTGGTGTGAGCCACTGCACCTGGCCTTCAGTGACGTTTTTTATAAGAGCAAAAGACCATTTTCAATGCATAGGGAATTGGCGTCATAATAAGTATATCTACATGATATGCGTAAAGGTTACACTGATTTATATTGCTGTCAGCAATATATGAAATATGTTTTTAGCAGCAGTGTAGGAGATTGTTAGATGAAATCCTTTTCTTAGCCTTGTGTGGTGTCATTTTGGGATCTTTGCCGTTTTGATAGCTTTTTAAAATATCTCATTTGTTCCTGTGTCTTTGGCTACTACTGAGACTAATGTGTGTGGTTTGCCATTTGTGAATTGTTTTCAGGTACTTTTGCCTGTATTTCTGTGCGGATCCTAGTGTGTTTGAAAAAAATATCTCTAATTGGAGAACGCATTCATCCTCATTTCTTCTTGGTTTTATCATGACTAAGCCCAAGGAGAAACTTTCCAGTGTATGTTTACTTGGTTGTCTGCTAACTTTTAGACTTACTGAGGGCAAAGGGAAGATACTTCTTTTTAATAATCTTTGGGACCCAGTCTCAGGCATTAGGAGGAATACATTATGTGTTAAATGACGGAGTTTAGTAAAGCTTATACTCTTCTGTTGAGGTGTTTAAACAGCTTGCTTTTCCATGGTGACTATCATGTTAATGCTCTTTTGAATCACAGTAGCATTTTCATAGATGTAAATCACTTAAATTTTAGTTAAGTCTTTTTTTTTTCAAGACAGAGGTTCACTCTTGTTGCCCAGGCTAGAATGCAGCAGTGTGATCGTGGCTCACTGCAACTTCCGCCTCCCAGGTTCAAATGATTCTCCTGCCTCAGCCTCCTGAGTAGCTGGGACTACAGGCATGCACCACCATGCTCGGCTAATTTTGTATTTTTAGTGGAGACGGGATTTCTCCATGTTGGTCATGCTGGTCTTGAACTCCCAACCTCAGGTGATCCGCCCACCTGGCCTCCCGAAGTGCTGGGATTATAAGTGTGAGCCATTGTGCCTGCCCACCCCCACCTCCACCTTTTTTTTTTTTTTTTGAGACTGGTTCTCATTCTGTCACCTGGGATGGAGTACAGTGGTAGAATCATGGCTCACCACAGCCTCCAACTCATGGTCTCAATTTATCCCCTGGTCTCAACCTCCCAGATACCTAGGGCTACAGACACCCACCACCACACCTGGCCAATTTAAAAAATATTTTGTAGAGAAGGGGGTCTTGCTATGTTGCCCAGGCTGGTCTTGAATTTCTAGTGTCAAGTGATCCTCCCGCCTTGGCTCCCAAAGTGCTAGGATTGCAGGCATGAGCTGAGACCCCATTTCTTAAAATAAACAAGCAATGTATATCAGCTGCGTATTTGAACATGTTATGATAAGATAGATAGATAGATAGATAGACAGATGATAGATAGATAGATAGTTTTTGAGACAGAGTCTTGCTCTGTTGTCAGGAGCCAGGCTGGAGCGCAGCGGTGCAATCTCGGCTGACTGCAACTTCCGCCTCCCAGGTTCAAATGATTCTCTTGCCTCAGCCTCCTGAGTAGCTGGGACTACAGGTGCATGCCACCACGCCCAGCTAATTTTTGTACTTTTTAGTAGAGACAGGGTTTCACCATGTTGGCCAGGATAGGCTCAATCTCTTGACCTCGTGTTCTGCCCGCTTCGGATGATAATATTTTTTAAAAATTTGTCCTTTGATTTACGTTTACACTGTCATACATGAAATATTTAGGAGAAGGAATTTCCTTGTAAGCTTGTGTGCTAGTTCACCTGCTTTGCCAGAAAGGAATCCCTCAGACTGGGCAGTTTATAAAGAAAGAAGTGTTCTTTCAATGCACGTTTCTACAGGCTATGGAATGTCTGCACCATAGCATGGTGCTGACGTCTGATTCTGGTGAAGCCTCAGGAAGCTTGCAGTCATGGCAGAAGGCAAAGGGGGAGCTGTTACAGCACGTGAGAGGAGCAAGGGTTGAAGCCATTCACGAGGGGTCCGCCCCCATGACCCAAACACCACCTACTAAGCCCCACCCTTAGCGCCGGGAATTATATTTCACTATGAGATTTGGAGGGACAAATGTCCAGACCACATCAACTTGCTCTCCAGTTTCAATTTTCTGAATCTGAAAACCTTGAAAGTGGTTTGTCTGCATGTAACAAAAAACTCAGGTGATGATGATGATTTGACCAAATCATCAGGGCTTTATTTTTGTCAGTAATAAGCTTAGAGGTGAAGAAATTATAGGCGTTCTTTCATAAGCTCAAAGATGTCAGGTTAGATGTCTCTTCAGTTTTCTTCATCTTTGCCTTGTGGTCTCAACATGGTAGCGCCCGTCCTTTCTAGTATATTCTGGTGATACTACAGCCACTGAGAGAGAGTAACAGCAATACGAAAGGCAGAAAAGGATCTGGGTTTGTTTTGGCGTGTTTTCTGTTTTTATTAGTTTCTGAGTTGCTCTTGGACCTAACACAGTATCTAAGCTTGATTTAATTTGGTAACTTTGAACTGAAAAAGCAGTTACTCTTCTGTCTGCTCATTAAGGGAAAATAGGAATCTCTTTTGATGTTGTCCCCTGAATTTTAAGTTATATCACCTTTTTTGCCTTGTATTTCATGGCCTATGTTTACAGCAGTCTATTTGTTTTTTGTTTGTTTTCGCTGGTAATATTATACTTAACCATCTGCAAGACTTTAGATGAAATAAACATTCCATTCTAAAAGCAGGCATTTCATTGTGGTTAACAATACATGTATTAAGTGTATAAAAATTAGGACGATAACAAGCAAAATTAAGTCATTGAAGTTTAGAGAGGTAAATATTAAAAATTAGAGGGATACTCTTTGGTGACCCAAGGAGCTCCCGTAAGTTTGTTCCTCATACTGGATGTAAATGTGAGCCACAGTTTTACAGGTTTAGAAACTAGTGTAACCAGAGGTAGATCATGTCCAGGGATTCTTTCTGGCTCATGTTAACCAGATGAGCGAGACTGATTAATTCACTTGTTCACTTAGTACATGTTTATTGAGGCCTCGTGTTTGCAGGACTTAGTTCTGGGTGTTTGAGAATAAAGGTTTGACTGCATGTGAGAGAGACCAGGGGGAAAAAAAAAAACAATAGCTTAAGCAAGAAAGAAGTCCAGGCTGTTGGGATGACTTGCTCTGCAAGTTTAAGAGTTGCGGAGTTTCTCTGTCTTGGTCTGCCGTCCCTAGGTCTTGCTCGCCCTTGTCTACATGATTCAAGTTGGCTGCCACCATGTTTGCTTACCAGGCAGCACGGAAGGCTGCTCTGCTTATGGAGTAGCCATACTTTATTCCTTTACTTTCTTTTTTTTTCTTTTTTTTTTAACTGTTGTCTTTCAAGGATGTCCTAGAATCCTTTACTTTCTTAATAAACTTGCTTTCATTAAAAAAAAAAAAAAAAAAAAAAATGACCAGCATGGAAGAGGGAAGAGCTGATACGGGTACATATTTCCCTTTAAAGGAGCAGCCTGGAAGTTGTACACAGCACGTCTGTTCGCATTCCATCTGCTGTAACTTGGCAGCATGGCTGCACCCGTTTGCAGGGGACACTCGGAAATCCAAATGCCTAGTTAAAAATGGGAGGTTCTATAAGTAAGAGAGGGACAAGGGGAGAATGGGTTATTTGGTTCCTATAAGCAGTTTCTGCCACAGGGTGATAGGGGTAAATTATATAAAGTCCTTGCCATTGTAGCATTCATAATCTAGTAGGAGAAACAGACTATAAACAAAAAACATAACACACACACACACACACACACACACACACACACACACACAGAGATGGTGAATATAATACATATGTTTATTTTTGATGGAAAGAGAGAGACATTCATTTTAGGTTACAGTAGTTGCTTAGAGAAAGAATAAAATATGCCTGGACGCAGTGGCTCATGCCTGTAATCCCACCACTTTGGTGGGAGGCTGAAGGGAGTAGATCACTTGAGTGCAGGAGTTCAAGACCAGCCTGGGCAATATGGTGGAACCCAGTCTCTACAAAAAATAGAAAAAATTAGCTGGACATGGTGGTGCGCATTTGTCCCAGCTACTCAGGAGGCTGACGTGGGAGGACTGCTTGAGCCCAGGAGGTTGAGGCCACAGTGAACTGTGGTGGTGTCATTGCCCTCCACCCTGAGCAACACTGTGAAACCCTGTCTCAAAAACAAAAGAAAAAAAAATACAATAGGGGAAGGAGAGAGGGGGCCGTTTTTTGTTTGTTCAAGGCCATTTTATGTGTGAGGTCTGAATTTAGTTAAGCATCTGGAAATTTCTAGTGTCCTTTGCAAGTAGATGTGTCCATGTTGCCAAATTCAGTTTCTTCTTACAGGCAAATTGAAAGCAAGGTTGATTTCAGAGGTTCCACATGTGTTTGTAATTGTGAGGACCTTTTAAAGGACTATGTTAGGAATATTAGGGGAGATTTCTGCAAGGATGAGATAAGAATAGAAACCTTAGCGAAGTGAGGGAATGCGACCTAACGGGAGATCTGAGGGAAAAGCAGATAATACAGTGTGAACATACTGATGTTGGAAAGAGCTGATACAGTTGAGAAAACCAGCTGAGTGAGCAAAGCACTTAGGCTAAACGGTCTGACCTAGGCAAGGGAACGTTTCTTAGGTTTTCTTCTTTCCCCGCTATC